TGCGCGGAATATATTATTAAGTAACTGGACGTTATGTAAGATTGAACGAATTGTTCACGATAGAGGGTTCTTCATGGTCGTGGATAGTAAGGACAAGAGTAATAAAGTAGTTACTGCAAAGGAAATGAAGTGTGTGTTATTTCTGTGATCAGTGGTTATTGTCCTACTTGCATATAGCCAGGGTATTCGATCTGATTAGTTGTGTTGTTCACAGTTTTATTCCAGATAAGTTGATTATAAACCGCAACCCAAAGCATTCAGATCAGAACTCCACTGTGGTATCAGCGGCCTCAAGAAACGTCATGGGTAAGCCATCAAAGTTAACTCAAACAGAGAATTTCCTTCAAGAGCTGGGCGTCTCTTTGAATAGTTCAGGTACGGTGAATTACAGCTTTTAATGCAATCAACTTCTACGTGTAGCAGCTATGATAGAGAAGTATCCGAACACCCAGATATTATTTGATAGACAGAGCTTGGCAACACAGACTACGGAGGTTAAGCGTACATGTCTTCCGTCTACGAGTGTCAAGGTGAGAACCAATAATACACCAGTAGCTTTAACAAGCGGTTCGATTGAAAAGCGGAAATCAGTTTTAGTGAGTAGATCGTTTGACAGTGAGAACGACGAAATAGTCCTAGGTGACCCACTGGAGCATGCTGTGTTCCGAAGACTAACAACAATGACATCAGCGAAGTACAAACTGAACGCTAAAAGCAGAAGGCAAACCAATCAGGCATCACCAATGAAGGCCAAATGTTGCAGGGTTTGCAAATCTGCGTGGAATAAGGTCGATTTGGACGATGAGCGACAATCAATCCAGTGCCAGAAATGCGCCGAACACACAGCAGTTGCGCTGCTTACAGTGGAGAGGAAGCATACGTTTGTTTGCATTGCCACAGTCGATGAGCGTGGACGTCAAAAGCCCAAAATGACCACGTCAATTTGATTTATTTGTCTTAGGGTTATGAATTCCGTTCCGGGACCAAGATATTGGTATAGATTCCATTTGAGATCGGATTTTGTGGGGGCATTACCTACTTCGTTGTCGAACCAATTCCAAGGTGGGAAAAAAAAATTTGAATTATATGAGAGTTCGCAAGTCTTCATTTTATTTCTCGCCTGGAGCGGGGAACCTTACTAATGCCTTTTCAGTACTCTCTGTTCTAGAAGAAATTCGAACCAAAAGAAAACACAGATACCTTTCAAGGACCCGGGACATTTGGGAAACAGCCTCAAACCCGTGAATCACTTCAAGACTTCAAGACGTCAAGACCCCGTAGATGGGGAGCAAAGTAGCGGATAAGTCCACGGGCAGACGGTTTGGAGAGCTTCATGCTGTGCCCACGAGGTTGATCCATAGAATGGTCGACGAAGTAATCACAGATCCCGTCGTGAAAGTCAGTTAGTTTTATTTCGTATTCGTCCATGATCTTAGGCTGAGAGTTTCAGAATGGTATTTAGAATAGCATTTGACAGTCTGTCAGCTCACAAGGGCAAACGACGAATTCTCCTAACTTAGTCGCTGTCCAACTTCCTCGCCAACTAGGACAGCCGCCCGTCCCCCTACTCAGCTCTCCCCCAACCTCCCCCCTATCTCATCTCCTAAACCACCTTCTCGATTTGCCGCCTGGTTTAACAGTCGTCCAAATATACTGGCTATTAATCAGCCCATTAATATATCGCACCAACTGCATCAAACAAAACATTTCGTTAGTGGGATTTCCACCCAAACAACAACAATCACCCCTACCTCAGGGCCGTTGCATATCATGCGTTCTGGAACATTCGGCCTGATACCCCCGATCTCCTCCTCTTTCCAACGTTCCCCCAACCCCCGCCCTAACTCATCTCCTAAAACACCTTCTCGACATGCCTCCTCATTTATCAATCGTCCAAATATACTAGCCTCTAATTGGCCCATTAAGTTATCACACCAACTGCGTCAAACAAAACCTTTCATTAGCGGGATTCCCACCCCACCAATAACGAACATCCCCACCTCAAGGCCATTGCACACCATCAATCCTGGACCAATCGGGTTGATACCT